GCACCCCGCTCTGACCGTCAGCTGCGAGAGCCCCGCCGGGCTGACCAGGAGCAGCAGCTACACCACCTTGACGCCCCTGCAGCCTCTGCCGCCCATCTCCACTGTTTCGGCCAAGTTTCCTCACCAACCCCCGTCGCACCCGCATCCCAGGCTGGCGGGCAACTTTACTCTCTTGCCCGACGAACGGGGTCTAGCCGTTGCCAACAATCTATACCCCTCGCCCTACCCCAAAGAGGTGGCCGGCCTGGGGCAGAGCCTCTCCCCGCTGGGCGGGCTCCACAGCGCCCAGCACGGACTGTCGCACTATGCTCACCCCGGAGCCGCCATGCCTGCCGAAAAAATGCTCACCCCCAGCGGCTTCGAAGCCCAGCACCCACCCCTGTTAGCCCGGCCGGGCGACCAGCACCTCACCCCGACTCCAGCTGGCTTAGTGCCGCTTGGCGGGATTCCCCACCAACCTCACGCCCACCTGAGCGCCCAAGGGCATGGGCAGCTCCAGGCCTCCTCCAGAGAACCTAATCACGCCGCTGCTACCGCCTCGCAGGGGAGCGCCGGTAATCACTCAGGGCACCTGGAGGAGATCAACACCAAGGACGTGGCCCAGCGGATCACCACCGAGCTGAAGCGCTACAGCATCCCGCAGGCCATCTTCGCCCAGAGGGTCCTCTGCCGCTCGCAGGGAACGCTCTCCGATTTGCTGAGGAACCCTAAGCCCTGGAGCAAGCTCAAATCCGGGCGGGAGACCTTTCGCAGGATGTGGAAGTGGCTGCAGGAACCCGAATTCCAGCGGATGTCCGCGCTCCGATTGGCAGGTGAGGGGCGGCGTTGTGGGGACAGGGTGGGGGGCAAGGCCGACCTTCTTGGGGTCCCATTCTAGAAACTCCGCAAGAGATGCAACAGTCGTGCAGTCCTTCACCCTCTTGCGCCCGGTGGAAAGAGGACGAATGGAGGCTCTGGCCTTCAGGATCCTACGGGGCCGAGGCAGTCCTGCGCCAATCGGGCCCGCCTGCGAAGTCCCCTCCCCCCAACCTGCCCAGTGCCAGGGACTGCGGGACGCCCTGAGATTCCAGGGCTCGCTGTAGACGTTGCTCTGGTGTTTGCGGCAGTGTAGGAGCCGCCTCTCCTTGCACGCGGACCCAGCCTCGTGACTGAATGCTGCTGGTGCCTTTCTGTCGAGGAAGCTCACCGGCTTCGCTGGGCTTTTGCGATGTTTGGACTGGTGGGAGTTGGCCTGCAGAAGCTGGGCCCCCATCAAACCCGGAACGCGCTTGGTTAGCCCTTCTAATTTTCCCCGGAAGGGCAGGGGCCCTTCCCAAACGGTGGTTGGTCCTCTCGGTAGAGGGAAGAACGGGGGGCCTGGCTAGGTGGGCTGGCCGTGGGCAAGCCGTACATGCACCTGGAAAGTTCTGTGCTTTGGAGAATTGGAGCAGGAAAGCAGTAAGGACGGGGCGATATTTGGCCCGTAAGTGAGGTCAAATGTCGATACCCAATGAGGCTCAGGGCCTTCCCCTCCCAGGGGCAACCGAATAGCTGGCGGAGTCCCCGGCGGCATCTGGTCGGTTGACGTTGATGGAACGGCTTTACTCAAGGCCTTCAGGTCAACGGCGACCTGGAGGCCCTGGGCGGAGGAGGCGAGAAGGACTTAGATCAGGCGCCAGGGAAACCGCTGCCCGCGATGTGGTTGGCGGCGGGTTCCTGCATCTGGACCCTACTTCTCCGGTGAAGCAGTGAAAGGCTGGCCGGCCGGGCAGCCTTTCCTTGGCTCGGGAGATTTTACTGCCTGATCCGCTGACACAGGCCACCCGGGGCCTTCTTTTCCCGTTCGGGAGGCGGCCGCGTTTGCTTGGGAAAGCGGAGCGTGGCGGCGGGCGGCGGCAAGAGGTTTTCCTACTATTGGGGTGGGGAGACGGCTTGCCCCTTTTCGGCGAGCAGAGCGGCGGCGGTTGAGCAGCTCTCTCTGAGAGGAAAGGGAGATGAGTCGATCCCGGGACGCAACCGAAGGTACCCGTGGGCGTCCGGCCTCTGCTCCAGGATGGCCCTCTCTGGACAGGGGCTGCTTTGCTCTTGCGCGAGCCCGAGGCTTCCTTGTCTTCAGGCCTGCTGCTTCTCGAAATCCTGATTGGAGTTTGGTCCACAGAGAAACAGTGAAAGCCGCGCAAAGTAACTTCGGTCGCGGATCCGCGTGTGGAGGAGAACGCGAGAGCGGCTGAGCGCCCGGTCTACGGGGCTTGGGCAGGGGCCCAATGCCGCTGGAGGGGCGGTTTTCCAAGAGGGCGCAGCGGCCGAGGGCAGACCTAGGACACTCCAATCCTTCGCCGCTAGATAAGCGAGGAGTGTTAGTCGGGGGGAACGTGGAAGCCTCAATCCCAGAAAGCGCGCTCCCGCTGTCTTTCCCTGTACGGGGACTGGAGCAGTAGCGGAGGGCGCTGACGGCTGGGAGCACGATGCCCCTTGAGGTGCCCTCAGCAAATGGTGGCCGGCTGGCTTCTTCTGAAGACGCGATTTTCTCGGGTGGTGCCCAAATGCGCCAGAAACAAGCCTCTTCCGTCCAAGTGGCTGTCGCAGCCTGGAAGAACGCCTGGGGAGGAAAAGACGGGGAAGCGTTTCCCAAAGGGGGGGGGGGGTCACGGCGGGGGGGGGGGTCCCCGGTCCCTCTTCTTTTTTTTGCGTCTGCAG